ATCCTGCCAGCTTCTTTCTTCCTTTTTTCAGATACATGGTCTCCTAGGCGCAAGTGATTCTCCTGCCTCTGCTTCCTGAGTAGGTGGGATTACCGTCATGAGCCACCACGCCTGGCACCTTGCCCATTTCTTCCTTCTTCTTACAGCATCTATACCCTAATTCTTTCTCCGGGGTGGAAGGCAGATGGGAGGCGGAGGAAAGTGATGTTATTGTAAGGTTTTACAGGCTTCCTGCTCCAAAGAATAAACCAGGTTGACTTTGTCCCTGCACCTTGAGGTACCAGCCTGTGGGTCTCAGGCCCATCCAAAGGGGAACAGGTAAGATTTGATCATCATCCATCTTTTAGTTCCTCTGGAAGGGAAGCACCTGAAGCCGGGCCTCAGGGGCAGACTTCTACCAGTTGTTCCCTACTGACCCTTTTGGAATCTCCCTGGAGAATATCACTAGGTTGAAAGAAGAAGCAAGTTGTTGCTAAGAAACCTTTCCAAATGATCTCTAGGGAGGGGACAGTAACAAGAAGAGGATTGGGGCAGAAATAAAAGACATTGTTGTAACTGTTGTGACCTGAAAAGTTAGACTCGGACCCCACTTAGATGTAATAAATTGGTAATTTATTTCACTCACACAGGGAACCACCGCTCTGAGAGGCAGTCGGCACCCCGGTGAAAAGCAGGCTGTCCTTTTATGTATTTTTCTCTTTATTTTCCGGGCACAGCTGGGCAAGCAGGTGGGTACAGAAGCAGAACGGTGGAGTTACAGCCTGGGAGTTCCCACCATTGTTTCTACCAGGAACTTGAACCTGGGACTTTTCGTGCTTCCTTATTCTGAAGCCTGTTCTCAGAATCGAGTCTGGGAGATGGGCTGGGAACTTGTCACAACATACAGAAAAGTAGCCTGATGTTCCCGCACCAGGGTCCCAGACCTTCTGTGTCCTGTACGCAGTGCATGGGGCCCAGAGCATGGGCTGCACATCGGAGTGTCCTAAGATCAGGATGGGCAGGTCAGGGTTTGTTATTTGGCACCATATCACATTTCTCCATGAGGTCTCTTCAGGGTTACAGAGAGGGTCCCAAGTGCTGTGGGTGCTTTCTCTAATCCCTAGAAAGGGTTTAAGATTTTTTTTTTTGGTGAATGCATAGAAAATTATATTGGATAATCATTTGATTTCATTAAAATTGGTTAACCTGCAAAAAAGAAAAAAGAAAGAAAGAAAGAAAAAATAGCCTGCTTGAGACTTCTAAGATTCAAGGTACAGAAGTGCTGGCCATGGAATCAGGCAGGAGCCTCCCAGACTGATCAAAATGAAGCAGCCTCAGACCTGGGTTCAAGTGGTGGCTCCCCCATTTACTTGCCTTGTAGACTTATGACTCCTTAAAGCCATCTGTAAAATGAGAATAACAATACCTACCTCTCAGAGTCTGAAGAGGACTGAATGAACTAATAGACATAACGCACTTAGCCCAACGTTTTCAATTCAATAAAACGTAACAAAAATAGCCTCCCTGGACACAGCAGTGTTAAGCTCCATGGTGTCCAGATATGCAGATATGACTGATTATGGGATTTAGTAGCCCTGAATGGTGTATCAAATGACAGACCCCAAAATCATGCCATGTGTTAGGTCTTTCAAGACCTTTGTTGGCTCTCTTTGTACAAATGAACCCAGTTGATCTTTTTATTTTTTTTTTAAGAGATGGGGTCTTATTTTATTGCCTAGGTTAGAGAGCTGTGGCATTATCACAGCTCACAGCAACCTCAAACTCCTGGCCTCAAGTGATCTTTCTGCCTCAGCCTCCCATGTAGGGAGGACTACAAGTGCCTGTCACCATGCCCAGCTAATTAAAAAAAATTTTTTTTTGTAGAGAAGGGGGCAGGCTATCTTACCCAGGCCAGTCTTAGTTTATTTTTATAGCAATTCCATGAGGTGGATATTAGCTCTGTTTTACAGATAGGGAAACTGGGGTTCTAAAAGGACCCTACATTGCTGAGCACCCCTGGGGGAACCCCCCCCCCACTAGACACTTTTCTAAGTTAGGGGCACTTTCTACTGGCCAGATTATCTTGAAACCCAAGGGGACATCAGGTTTCCTAACATAGCTCCTGTCTTAGGCCTGGCCTGAGCACCCGTACTCAAGTCAAAGGGGCCAGGTCAGCTTAGGGGAATGTGTATGTCTGCTTGCTTGGTGACACTCCAAGCATTCAGACACATGTTCCCTTGGCCCTGGCAGCCTTTGTATATGTGACAAGATTAGAACTTCATCAGGCAAGACTTGGAGTGACCCCTGCAGACATGGTGCTGTGAGTGGCGTGGACCCTGTAGGTGATGGCCTGCAGCCTGCACTTGGCCTCTGTGCCCACGGCACCCTGCCCACTGTGGCCCTGCTCACAGTGCATAAATTCACAGAGAAACATGAATGGGTGACAGCAGAAAATGGTGTTGGAACAGTGGGAATCAGCAATTTTGTGCAGGCAGCTTTGGGAGTTGTTTACTGCAGTCTACCTGAAGTTGGGACAAAATTAAACAAACAAGGTGAGTTTGGTGCGTTGGAAAGAGTGAAAGCTGCTAGTGAACTCTATTCTCCTTTATTGGGAGAAGTAAATTAATAAAGTTTTGGCAGAAAATCCAGGACTTGTCAACAAATCTTGTTATGAAGATGGTTAGCTGATCAAGATGACACTAAGGAACGTTTCAGAACTAGATGAACTAATGAGTGAAGAAGCATATGAGAAATATGTAAAATCTATTGAGGAGTGAAAGTGGAACTCCTAAATAAACTAGTGTGAAATAAAATTAAAAAAAAAAAAACTTGGAGTGAGCCAAGCATCTAGTCCTGATTTTACCACCAACCAGCTGTGTGACCTGGAGTGTCACCATCCAGAGATGGAGGTTTCTCACTTATAAAATGGGATCAAAGGGTTCCTTAGGGTCTGAGGGTTGCAGAGAGGGCCCAGTGAGATTAGAACCAGGACACTGACTCAGCAAACATAAGGAGACCTGCTCTGTGCAATTCACTAGGTCATTGAAAATTCTAGCCCCTCAGCTAAAAATTTGCAGGTAATTGATTTTATGGATAGCTTGTTTACTTCAGGGGAGGCTGTGAGATGTTTGCCAGGAAAGATGAGGAACTACAATGTCAAAGCCAATAACTTTCATTGGGTTTGGGGGTTATTCGACTAGTACATGTTGGGTGGCAGCTAGGTGCTAGGCACTGGGGATACAGGGAAAGGTCTGGTTAGGATAGAATTTGCCTTCCATCACAAGGTCAAATGCAGAAAGTAAGAACCAAAGAGAAAGGGTGGGGGGGAGAAACTCCTCTAGAGTTAACTTTAGACTTCAAGTCTTTGAGCAAAGAGTAAAAAGAAGAATTGTTCAGCTTCATGGCTCAGTTCTTATTAGGAGAAATACATTTAAAAACAAACAAAAAAACTTGTTTGCCAGGCACGGTGGTTCAGCCTATAATCCTAGCACTCTGGGAGGCCCAGGCAGGTGGATTGCTTGAGCTCATGAGTTGGAGACCAGCCTCAACAAGAGCCAGACCCTGGCTCTAAAAATAGCTGGGCATTTTGGCAAGTTCCTGTAGTCCCAGCTACTTGGGAGGCTGAGGCAAGAGACTCACTTGAGCTCAAGAGTTTGAGGTTGCTGTGGGCTGTGACGCCACAACATTCTACTGAGGACGACAAAGTGAATCTGTCTTAAAAATAAATAAATTAATTAATTAAAAAACTGGTTGCAAGAGGATTTTCTTGTGGAAGAAGCATTTCAGTAAGGGGTCTTTTGGGCAATAGAAAGAATGATTTTAATAGTTTTTTTTTTTTTTT